AGCCTAGGACTCTTCCTGTGATTCTTAACAACTTACCTATGCTGCTATATCTCTCTATATCCATGATGCTTGCTATTCCTTTCTTGTCACTAACCTTCCCCACCAAGCAGGTGAGGGAACAATCTTTTGTTCGCAATTCTTTTAAGCATTCTGCTGGTAGCTGTCCTTCCCACTCTACATCTTCTCTATCCTGCATTCCTAACCATTTTGGTCCTTCAAACCACAGTGTATTGCCTACCAATTCCTTTGCCTGTTGTCCTCTTGAAGGGATATCAGCTGGATTGTCAAGCCCAGCACAATGATTCCAATATTCCATATCCACATGCCTTCTTATCTCCTGTACCCTATTCTGGACGAATGGTTTCCAAGCCCTGTCCTTACCTCTGATCCAATGTAATGCGATTTCAGAGTCTGTATAACACCTTGGACTATCCAGCTTCATGACTCGGCTCAATGCTTCTTGTGTTGTGGACATCAATCTTGCCAATATTACTGCTGCAAGTAGTTCTAACCTAGGAATTGTCTGTTTTGTTAGTGGTGCTACTCGAGTTTTGGCGATTAATAGTTGCGTAATTCGTTTTGAATCTGATTTGGCTACAAGATAAATTACGGCGGCGTATGCACCCTTTGAAGCATCACAAAATCCTTGTAGCTGATATGAGCAACTTTGCTCTCCCTGCATTTGGCTTAGATAATATCGTGGTACCCGAACTGTTGATACTCTCATCAAATCTTTTGCCAACTTGTTCCATATCTGTAGCAATTCTCCCCGTAGAGGTTCATCCCACCCTACTTTGTTCCTACATAGTGCTTGAAATAGCATTTTGAACTGAACTGTGACTGGACTGATCAATCCTAGTGGATCAAAAAATTTACTAACAGTGCTAACAACTCGCCTCTTAGTAGGGCTAATTTCATTTGCTTCTCTTGATATATCTCTCAAGTCAAATACAAGCTCATCTGTGTCGACGTTCCATAATACACCAAGTACCTTTTGGCTTCCTCTTACTAAGGCTACAATGCCTTCCTTTCCAATTTCCTTCTGTGAGATCTTTTTCTGTAACTCACTTGAATTAGATACAAACTTTCGCAGGTTGAATCCTCCCTTCTGTAGCAACTTCTTACCTATTGTGTACAACTCCTCTGCTTCTGTCTCAGTCCTTGCTCCGGTTATAATGTCGTCCACATATGTGGCTTGTAACAGCTTTGGTACTATATAAGGGTATTGCTTTGTGAATCCTTGCATGTGCTTCTGTATAGTAGCATTCAAAAGAAATGGACTAGATGATACTCCAAACATTACCCGTGTGAATTTCATTACCTTTATCTGTGGTACGTCAGCTGCTATGTCTGCAACCCAAAGGAACCGAAGCACATCTCTGTCTTGTGGTGCCACAGATATATTCAAGAATGCCTTTTCTATGTCTGCTGCTATAGCTACCTGATGACTACGAAAGGTTAGAAGTATGTCCACTATTTTCTGATGTAACTTTGGACCTGTATGCAGACATTCATTCAGTGATGGTCCGTTCTGCTTGGCTGAGGCGTCATATACAATGCGTATCTTTGTGGTCTCTTTATCCGTACGTATAACCGCGTGATGCGGCAAGTAGTGCACTCTGTCCCCAGCTATGAGCTCAGGTTCCTCTACTTCTTCAACTATCCCCTTCTGTAATTGCTCTTGTATGATGGCATCATAAGTCATAAAGAGCTCCCTGTCCTGACTGAGTCTTTTCAATAACCCATTCAATCGTCTCAGGCTTAGATCATAATTATCAGGTATATTCTCTAGTGGGTTCTTCCATGGCAGAGCTACTTGATAGTGACCATCTTCAAATGTAATGTGGTCTGTGAACTGTTCATAGACATCTTCCTCTTTGTCAACAATTCCTATTGCCTCCAATTCCCAAAAGGCCTGCAACCTTTTGTCCAATGGTTTTGTACCAGACTCTGTTGTCACTCGAAGGACATGCGTGACCAGTGTAGAAATGTCCTGATCTGTTCCTGTTTCTGTTGGGCCAGATAAAACCCATCCAAGTTTAGAGCAAACTGCAGTTGGACCTTGCTTACTCTTCACAGTCTCTCCTGTCATCAGTTGCCAATAGAAGTCTGATCCTATAAGTATGTCTGGCTGAAATTGCTCCTGTGTACTTTGGTCTGCTAACTGTAGCTTTTGTAAGTGGGGGTATTTTCTGAGGCAGTCTTGGATGCAAGGCTTTGTTAGAGGTTCACATATTAGTGGGACCACTAACATAGTAACTTCTACTTCTGTCTGATCCTGTGTCAAGATCCTTGCCTTGACTAATCCACACCTTTGTGAGTTCTCCTCCTTTGATCCAAAGGTTAATATGGTGACTGATTTCTTGCCTAACACTCTGAGCTCTAACTCCCTTGAAAACTGTGATGTTATATACGACCTCTGGCTCCCCAGATCGAAAATGATATTAGCGTGCCCTCTCTGATTACTCAAGGGGTTTCGTATTACTGCTTCTGCGGTTTGTAGCAACACTGCTTGCTTCATGGGACTGGTGTACATAGTAGTAGCTCTTTCTGAAGTGAAAGAAGTGGCTCCAGGATTTAGAGGCTTTTCATCCTTCTTGGGCTGTGTACCTTTATTGCATATACTTGTATGATGTTGTTCTTTGCACTTCATACATTTCCATCTGCTACGACATTTACTGCTAATATGCCCCTTTCTTAAACAGATGAAGCACCTCCCCACTCGTCGTAAGATTTGTCTTCGCTCTTCTACTGAACTGACTCTGCGACAAGATTCTGGATTGTGGCCTTGTGCTTTACAATAGCAGCAATAATTATCACCACCACTAAACAGTGTCGCTCCAGTGTGGGTCTCTCTTTCCTTTCCTCTCTTTTCATCACGCCCTTTCAGGTCCATTCTCTCTCTGGCTTCAATTTCATCGAGAATTACCTGCATGATCTTGTCTGTGCTCCATTCATCTGATGACAGCTTTCTGCTTATTGTTAACTTCATCTCTGGAGGTAACTTCTTTATTAATATAGGACAGAGCAACCCTCCATAGGTGTCAGCTTTAATCCCAAGTGCTTCAAGGCTTCTTATATGTGTTTCAACCTTGTCATATAGCTTTCTAAGCATTCCCAACTTCTGATCTGAATACACTCCCTCTAATCCTACTAATAAATCCATGTGTCGATTTACAATCTTTTCTTTGTTGCCGAACCTGCGTTTTAATATCTCGATAGCTTGCTGATAATTAGCCGTGGATAAAGACAATCCAGCTATTGCTTCCTTTGCTGTCTTCTCTACTAGTGACTTGAGATATGTAAATTTTTCAATATCTGACAGCTGACTATTATCATGGATAGCAGAACAATAGGACTCCCAAAATGGAATCCACTGAGTTATATCTCCATCAAATACCTTAAGGTTTATCTTCGGGAGTCGAACCTTGCAAGGAGTTGCGTGAATAATGTCGGTGGGCGTAGTCATCGGCGCAGACACGCCCCTCGTCTCCGATGATGCATCGGTCCTAAGAGCATCTATTCTACTTATTATTGCCTTTATTTCTTCTCTGACCTCGTCTCCTTTACAAATCTCATCTACCAGCTCTTCCTCGTCTTCTATTAGCTCCTCTATTTCCTTATCCATATCTCTTAATGCCTCCTTTTTCTCCTCCAATGTCGCCCCTATTTGCTCCAATTTCGCCATATCCGGTTCTTCTGCCTGTAACAAACCAACTGCTTCGCCTATTTTCCTTGTTACCGCTCCTCTCTGGCCTCTCCTAACCCTTTTCTTAGCTGCTATGTCGGCCATACCACTCGTCGCTACGTTTCTGCCACTCAGTCTCAAATATTATTATTATCAAAAAACAAAAAAAAACTGATATCTGCTTACTACTACTTCTTGAGTAAAACCTACACTAATTTCTCACCTCCTCTCTTCTTCTTATAGCCTGTAGCAGCTGTTCTATGTACCGTCCGCGTCCTATAAGTGACTTTCAATAGAGTTCCCGCGATAGATATCCTTCCTCTTTTGTATCCTTAGGTATCCAGATCGGTGGACCATGTGATATTTTATCTTCTTGGACTGTATTTATAAGATTAGGATCACTATCTTGGGATGACTCATTCACTAGATGAATTCACTTCTTTCTCAAAAACTTCCGAAGTGGCACATGCTCTATCTATTGAGCATGCGCAATAAAACACATAATTGTAATGAATAATTCATAAACATGACAACAGTACCAATTTTAAGAATGTTGGAGAGAATGGGAAAATGAATGCTGACTACTTCAATGACAAATAATCAACAATGTATTACTTTAATGTAATTTATGTTTGGTTCATTACACATAATTATAAAAGGGATTATGCATCTGATTATTGCATGTAATAAAGGGGTGCATGACTCAGGAAAAGGATAAACTGTGCTCCCACAAATGTTACAAGTGATATTTCTGGTCATTACCAAATATGAAAATGTCATAGA